AGCATGACTCGGCCAACCGTCCCTTCAGATCTGGTTGCCGAAGGGGCCCTCGCCATCCCCCCCGGCCCCCGACTGAGCGCTCCCGGCCCCTTTCCTTACCTTTCCTTTGGTTAGTAGGGAATGGAAGAATGGTAGTAATAGTAGTTATAATTGTACCCCATTCCTCCATTCCCTACTAACCAAAGGTAAGTTTCCCGATCCGCCACCGACCCTGCCAAGAAGTGGTGGGGTTCGGGGCCGAGCATCACAAGCAGCCTCAATGCGAAAGACAGAAGACATTTGACCTGGTGTTACAGCAGTACGGCCCAATTCCTCCTGTGTTGTGACCCCCATTTCCTTGTGCCAGGACTGCATGTACGTTTTGATAGGAAGCCCTCAAACACATCTTCAGCATTACATGGCAATGGGGTATCCAAAAAACCTAAGGAACCAGAGCTGTGGAAACAGAACCGCAGCTTGCACACTCCCTAGCTCGTGTAGCCCTCTTCGACCCTTTCAGTGCCCGGCATGGAACCGGCCGCTGATTGCGTGGCTCCCTGGCTTCATGTGTGTGCTTGAGGATGCTTTGGAGGTTGCCAAGCACTGAACAACAGGGTTGAGGTGTCACACATTCACGGCACCGGCCCACTGCCAAGTTCCTAAACTCCTCATGAACATGTCCAGTTAAATGAGCCAAGCTCGGAACGAGTCATGTCACAGTTTACATCAGATTACACAAAGTGTACACCGTTTCATTTTTCATCAACCAATAAGATTCTAACAAGATCATGTCGAAGTTCCCAGAGGTTAGTCATGTCAGCCACGCTTCACGGTGGCTTCATGACCTTGCCTCAACGATCTACAAGGCACCCTTGCTTGGCAAGGCACCATATTCGCTGTGGTAGTAAAAGGGGCACGTTGGCTGCAAGATAGCAGCTGAGGGCACTGATTGTGAACGGCCCGCATCTCAGAGAAAATGCTCGTCGGCCGCTGCAAGTTAACACCATATGAGTCAATGCCATAGCTACTCAGGCAGCTCGATCTGCATTGGATGTGCGCGTCTTCTAATTTTCTAATTGTCGAGCTTCTGAGAGCCAGCAAAACTTCAGTGTTTGAGGGAGATGTGGCAACAGGCTGCATCTGCCTCGGCACCGCGACTCTCCAAAAAAAGTCAAGCAATCCCTGCACTGAGTCCCATCCAAGCGAGCCCCGGGGCTGGAAATTTCTGACTTGGACTTGAGGTTCCATGATTTTCTATATCTGTTTCAAAATGGGCGAAAACCACTGGACGCGAATGAGAACCTGCTGCGTGAAAGGAAGAACCTCCAAACAAGCATCTGCAGAGAAATGCATGCTACACATATCTGACTGTGCACGCATTCGTCCGCGCATGTCTCGCAAACTCGTGCAGAATGACGTCGTGTTGCATCACATGGGCGCAGACTTGCCTTGCCTGTTTCTTCTTGAGGTGCATCACCAAGGAGATCAGGCTCTCGACTTCCTGAGTTTCAGAGCATCGGAGGCCTCGGAGCCTCTCTACTTATGCCTCCTTTAACCCTAAACCCCTATGCCTCCTCTTCTAGACTCCTTTAAGCCTCGATCTCCTGGCCGAGCGTCAGCACCCAGGATGGTAAGGCCCTCAACGAGAGAGGCACCCAGCGTATCCACCTGGCATCGGACCACGGGACCTATCCTCAAGCATATAATGTAACTACTACCACGTGGGATGAGTGAACGTGCAGCATCTCATGACTCTATGTAGACATACGAGAGAACACCGAGTGTTCCGAAGCCGTTGCCCACTGCGCACAAGTAAGCCGTCTGTCGCGGCTTGCACGTTGTATGTGGTCGCATGAGCATCACTTCATATCGCTTCTGCCTAGGTTCTCTTGGGGTGTTGGTCTTTCAGCAAAAGGAGCATGTGTCGCTGCACCAAGCGTCGCCGAAACAGTTCTGCCAGAACTGGGTTACAGCAGGACGATGCCCTCCGCCGTACCAGCAGTGAACCCGTTCGAACACCTTCGGTAATGCAGGGGCCTTAATGATTAGAATAGGGTTGTGGGGCCCAGTATACGACAATCATAATAAGGATCCCCCAAAATAGTGTAGGCAATTATTAAGGCCCCAAAAGGTAGGCTCCGGGCGGATTGACGGATGCCGGCAATGCTCTGCACGCGCTCGGCCCGTTCGGTCTCCAGGGATTTCTGGAGCCCTTGGAAGATATCGGTTTAGGTTTTTTTCCCTCCTACCTAGCAAGGAGACGAAGCCCGCATTGCACAACAAGTTTGATCGGTTCGGTAGTTGTACTTGGCTACTGACAACTGGTGGCCTTTCTGCTGTTCAACCAAGATACCCTGCAATGCGGGCTTTTTTAGGATTTAGGGTTTATAGGGTTTCGACTCGCGCACTCGCACAATCGCAGGCACGGCTTTAGGGTTTAGGGTTTGGGTTTTTTCCCTCCTACCTAGCAAGGACGAAGCCCGCATTGCAGGGTGTCTTGGTTGAACAGTTGTACTACAGCCACGTTGTTCGTATGGGTTTGGGGTTTAGGATTTAGGGTTTAGGATTTAAGGTTTCGGGTTTTCCGGACTCTTCACCCACTTGACAACCACGAGGCATGCGACGTCACAGTTTGCCATACTACAAGTAGCTGCTAGTAGCATAGATATAGTAATAATCTTACAAGTGATACAGACGGTTGTAACAACGTTAAAGGGATGGGGTGATGTCTCATTCCATCTGAAAGGATGTCATCGATGATGCCGCTGGTAATGCTGCGCGGCAGGCCCTCGTTACAGCATTCAAAGATAAGCTTCGCAAAACCAAGTGGCAGGAAATGGGAGTTTCCGAAAATAGGGGACCCTAATATAGTACCCTGAATAGTAGGATCCTGACTATAAGGACCCCAAGATAAGGTACCCCCAAATTTCGGAAACTCCCAAATGGCTCTCAAGACTTGAGCCTCCCGGTCCGGGCACGGTTCCCCCAACTTCAGCTGTGGCTCTCTCGTGCTCAACCCGGAACTCCTCCCGCAGCTCTGCAACGAGTGTCCTGATACATTGGGTCAAGCCGCGGTTGCGGTGCGCGTTCGTCAGACCTAGCAGCTCCTTGCGTCGTCCTACTGGCCGCGATGAGCTGAAGCATAGAACAAACAACGAGGCTTCGCAAAGCAGACCTGTTACGAGTTACGAGGCCAACGTTTGTGGTTCGACGAGAGGGGGAGGCGGGGCGGATAAGCAGTGTACTGAGGACGGAAACTACATCGCAACACTGAAAACATGCTCCGAGGAATGGTCCCAAATCTTGGCTCTGAGGTAACAGGAGTCGCCCATTTGCGCTGAGGATCTGATGGCCCAGCTCGCCCACTTCCAAGGCCATGATCGGCAAAGGTTGCGATGTGAGGAAATCGGAATCTGCTACGTAGTCTGGCCTCCATGGTCTTCGAACAAAGCTCCTGGCAACTTCGGGATTACGGGCCATCTTCTTCCAGCATCTACAGTGATTGTCGAGAGCACGAGCCAAACGACTCTGGTACAAAACTCAGCTCCCTTCCATCCTGTCGGAACTGCATCGCAACGCTAGGGCAAACATGGGAGCAGCCTGTGGAAGAAGCCGAATGAAACCAGCGCTCTTCTTTCAAACTCGCCATCAGTCAAAGTCAACCTGCACCCCTCGACGAGAACTGCAAAGTGCCAGAAAGGGAATAGGACCAAGACATCCATTCCGTAGCACTCTTGGGCATCTCGTCTCCGTGGCTACTATATTAATTCGCTGTAGGCCACGAATGCCATATGCCACTCGTGAGATCCGCTTGAACAGCCTGCACATATTGCAGGATTGCATCTGGAACATTGTTGAGGCTCTGCATCTTTGCACAGATTGCTTTGGCCTGCGTGAGCTCCACTCTCAAAACCCAACTTTGTAGAACACTGAATTTCGGGGTACAAGCTGAGTGAGCTACACTCTCAAAACCTAACTTGGGTACAAGCGAGCATCTTTTGAATAAAGCCTCTTGACGAGGCCGTCAAGGAACTTGCAATAGAAGTCACGAGTAGTAACGCACGTGACATGCGTGACTGAAGCCATGAGTATGGCTCGATCGGTAGTCCTTTTGACCCAATGCACCTGCAGTCCCGGGTGTCGCTGTCACAATCCTCTTTGCGTTTGTGTACCTCTCGACTTGGAGCGACATCCTTCGCTGTCCGAAACACATACATGCATGCATGTATATCAGGAAGTGAGTCAGCACGTATGTACACATGCTTGCGCATATGTGCACGTGTGTGTGTGTGTGTATGAATGTCTGTGATTACGAATGTCTGTCTCAGCCTCTCTGTCTGAATGTCTCTGTGTCTGTATACATGTGACTCTACTCCCGTGTCTTCGCGAGCACACACAGTCACTCTTCTCTTGCGTATCCCCCAAGGAACCTGCCTTCAAACTTCCGACGTTGTCTCGGTCCTACGCAACATCGCCGCACGCACTCGGAAATTCGATTCCATCCTCCATCGACTCTGTAGGTTGCAGTCCCGGTATGAAGAAAGCGGCAGGCTCAATCGTCAGACAGGCTCTTCCAAATTATTGAACATCTCGACTACCCGTGGCGCATACATGCAGAGAGACTTGACTTGTGCCGTTCAGAAAGACTTCCTGAAAGTGCCTCTTGCCACAGCATCGGCTTGCTCGATTGCCTGGAGTAACATGTAGCAATGTAGCAATCGGCGCGCCGACAGGTTCACATGTTTGGGGTCCAACGGCGGCCACCATACCATTATATGTTCGCACATGCTGCGACAAGCTCTTGCGCGCAGAATTTTGGATTCAAACATCGCCGGTCACAGGTCATGCAAGGTACCATCAAACTCATCAAACACACCCCTCAAATGTTAGTTCATGCACTTTGGGCTGAACTGCAGGTGCCAAAGGGTGACATACAGTTCACTATGAAAAGGATGCTCGTGCTAATCAGTTGGCACGAAGAAAATCCTGGACACAGGCAATCCGCTTTCGCGACGATTTAATTAGTATGGCCCGGCTGCCTGCAACACGTTACCATCCGTACCCACGCTCGGGCAACTTCCCTTCACATACTTCCCGAATACGGCATCCATATTCGCGTTCGAACGGGCCTTGAGTGCTTTTTGCGCCGCCTCCTTGTTCTCCGGCTTGCCCAACCAAGTGACGATGCATGTCTTCTGCAATGCCTTGCCGTAGGAGAAGGACAGATGCCAGGGCAGTTTCGGGAAGAGCTTGTGCATGGTGCTGAGATTTACGGTGGCCTCCTCCTCATTGTCTTCGTTCAGCGCCGTCTCTCCGGACAGGAAGAAAATGCCCGGCATGGCCACTGGCACCGTGCGCAAGAGCGTCTGCACTGTGAGCTTTGCAATCGTCTCAGCATCTGCCTTTGGCCCTTTGAGACCGTTCTTGACCATGTTCGGCTTCAACACGGCACCTTCCAAGTAGACGCGGTGGTCGGCCAAAGCTTTGAACTGGGCCGCCAAGACGATCTCCGTCATCTTGCGGCAATACTCGATGTCGTGGTCTCCGTTGGGCACGATCTCGGGCTCTACAATGGGCACCAGGCGCTCGCTCTGGCAAATGGACGCATAGCGGGCCAATGTGTGAACGGTGTCCATGATGGCTAGCTTGCTGGGCAGGCCCTTCTTGGGGTCGAGCTGGAGCACATTGCGCCATTTGGCGAAGCGCGCCCCCTTCTTGTAGGCCTGGGCACACCGTTCTTGAAGGTCATCCAAACCTTTGGTCGACACTTCTGGGTGTCCCAAAGGTCCAACTTCCGTGCCCCACATGCCCTTCTTGTCGTAAGCCTTGTCCACCTTGATGCCGGGGACCATGCCGTTGCCGGTGATGATGTCCACCATCGGCTTGCCGTCGGCATCGTCCTGGAAGAGGGTCTCCCAGTGGAGGATGACGCCACTGATGTGCTCGCTGAGCCCCGGTGTGGAGAAGCACATGGATCGGTAGGCGGCCCTGTTCTCAATCACATCCGGGATCTTCGCCGCCTCTGCATGACCAGCACGGAGCCATGGTCCGGCTGACTCGTCGGCGGCCAAGAAGCCCTTGCCTGGCGCGCACAGCTTCGTGGCAGTCTCCTTGAGCTCAGCCAAGACATCCGCGGGCAAATTGGGCGGGGGTGAAATTCGGCCGTAGTACCTTTCTGTTGTCCAAACATCATGGCAAACAAGGCCTGCTAGATGTTGTAATTAGTGACTAGTGCCAGCGACACGTGGAAGCCAAAACCAACACCAGAATCAGAAAATCTGTCTTTAGTGCAGTTGGGGGCACTTCAGCGGCTTGTCCTCTGCCTGGGGGCTGCCTTCCTGGGCCTTGTAGAACTTCTGGAGGCCTCATTTTCACAAAGGCATGCAAATTGTGATCAGCTTGAAAGCACAAGACCCGGCTCAAGAGCGTTTTAAGGCACATCCCGGGCCTTCCCAGCATGCCCCCTGGGCGTCGATCTCCACGCTCATCTTCCTCAGCGCAGGGAGAGGCCCTAGTCTGATAAGTTTTCATAACGGCTTTAGTAGACTAGGGTCTAGGGGCCCGTTATACTACAATGCAACAATGATAATAAGAAACTCCCAAACTAGGCCCTTATATTACCTGAGCTGTCGAGGAGCACGACGCCGGCAGCAAGGGCTCCTGTAATTTTATCCTTCTCGAAGCCGGACCCAACTACCTCGGCCGAAGGGAGGAGCGGCCCACATGTCCTGAGAGTATGCCTGTTAAGATACTCCATGTGCATCTTGAAGGAAAGAGGGCCTGCATGAGATGCAGGGGCGGAAGAGGCGAGGCCTACAGCAGAATACAGGCTAGTTGCAGAGTATGCAGGGCACCGTTTCGGACAAGCGCATAGCACAGCCATTCTTAACAATTCTGCAGCGATCTGAGTAGACTTTTGAGGAAGCTAACTTCAGATTGGGCGCGAAGCTAAGCGGCTTCTGGATGTCTTTGCCGGTGGCTGCCTGAGTGGGAAATTATTGGAAGTCACTACGCCTCCTCCATCCGAGTTGACTTGAGAAACGAAGGCGCTCAGTTGGAAGTGCGACGAGCCTTGATTTGCTCGCGGGCATGCGCCTGCATGTCCTTCAACCTCAGTGCCACTGGCTGTCACTGCGTGAAGGCCGGACTCAAAGACACGGAAGCAGCACACATCTCTGCAGATTCTTTGGCCGAAGTTTCTACCCAACCCTGCCCCCCTAGATAATCTTTTGACAATCACTTTTGCCGTCAATGGGCTGCTCCGGCTTCACGACGCTGCCGGCCTTGCAGCGGAAGCAAATCGCAGTCTTACTATTATTGAGGTGAGCATTCGAAAACGATACAGTACTTAGGAGAATAGGTAGGCCCCACCGCCCCACCCCGGATGTGCACGATGCTAATGGTGCGTCTGTTCTCAGTACAAGCTTTGCGGGAACTCCGATTGGCGCGGAGAACGGCGCGGAGCCCGCGTCGAGGTTTTCTGCACCCCTCTGCAAGGCGCTGTGCCCCTTTTTTCTCTCTGGGCTGACATACATCCCCTTCCGTGCTGGCGGACTGGCACAAACCTTATTTGCAATCCGCGATTGTAACAGGAAGCTCTGTCCACAGCTCAGCTGATCTAGCATACTCGTGTGATCTGAGTCTGGGTCTCCGAGGTCTCCCGGAATGCTTCCTCTGGTTTATGTCGTTGGCCCAAAGCCTGCCGTTTGAGGGTGTGTGTCGCTGGTGCTCCTAATGCTCACAAGCATTAAGCAGCTCTTGTTCCTGGCTTCCCTATGATTCCCTTCTTTCTTGATCTCCCTGACACGCCGTGGTGTGGCCTTGCATGCTGTTGCATTGTTTGTTAATCATGCCTCTTTGGCGCTCGCACAGATGGGGCTATGTTCCGGCAGGCCCAGCTCTCTGGTAGGTGGCATGTTACTGCGCCCAACTGGAGGACTCTCTCCTCCGAAAGTTGGGCCGAATTCACTTTCACATGGCCGGCTTCGGCCTTACTCAATTCTGGGGCCGAGTTTAGTATCTCTCTATAAGGCATGCTCCATCATTTAGCTGACGGAAACTTCTCAACTCTTGCATGCATGCTCCGTTGAGGGCATCCTTTGCCAGGCTCAGAACCTGAAAGCAGCGGAATTCATCCTCTCCCTGCCTTGCAAGCCGCTGCAATGGTGAACTTCTCTGAGATGGGACTCAGGCCCTGGTAGACCTGCGATGGAGGAAGGCCAATACGCGGCACTCACGAATGCTGAGGCTCTCCCTCACGCACACTCCTCTGCGCCTACTCAAACGCTGCACCATCCTACCCAGAGACTCCAATATCCCTAATATATACATTGAATCATATTAAGGATCCTTAATATGATTTAGGGAATATTCCTTAATTAAGGGATATTGGAGTTTCTGGGTACACTCTACACTCGACCTTGAAGATGCTGCTCCCGTTGGTGATGCCAATCCTGGTTAGCAGGGGTTTTACAGCTATCGCCGGCAGATCGATCGATATATATATATATATATATATATATATAACAATAATATTATAAGGTTCCAGGAGCCTGGCACTGGGTGGTGCGGTTTACAATAAAAAAGCGTTTATGGAGTGTTTTCGGAGCATTGTTGGAAAGCGTTTTGGCAGCAGTTCCTGTGCAGAGAGCGTTTGTAAAAAGCGTTTTGGTTGACATGTTTGTATGTGTGTGTGCGCCTTGTTGCTCTGTCCACCAGCCCGCTTTGCCGTGCGCAAGCATCATGCGCATCATTACCTCCCGCCCTCCCCCCTCCCGCCCTCCCCTCCCCCTCTTCTCGCCGTGGTTCGTTCCTTCCTTCCCTCCCAACCTCCGGAACTAAACGCCCCATGAAGGCTCCGGAAACGCTACTGGACCCGAAAACGCTCCAAAAACGCTTCCTCAGTCCGAAAACGCACCGAAAACGGACCAAAAATGCTACCAAAACGCTCCGAAAACGCTACAAAACGCTCCAAAAACGCTCCAAAACGCTCCCCTAGCCCTAGCTTAAGTGAAGTCATAATATTTAAATAGCAGCCTAAATAAATTCCTACTATTTAATACAAATCTGATTCTTCAGATCAGATATCTGAATTTTTAAATCAGCTCCGAAAACGCTCCAAAAACGCTCCGACAACGCTTTGCCAAATGCTCTGGGAAAAAAACCATGTGCGAAAACGCTCCGAAAACGCTTTCTTGGAAACGCTTCCAAAATCCAAAACGCTCCGAAAACGCTTTGCGAGAGACGCAAGGTTAGGGAAGGGTGCGGAGCCGGGGGTTGACGTGGGGAGATATTTAGTAAGCTTTCCAGGATTCGGGGCTTGGGGCTTATAGGGTTTAGGACCGTCTCTGAAGCTACTTCATGCCACTGACAATCCGATGGCTAAACAAAACGCTTCTTCAGAACGCACCTGCCCCAGCAAACGCTCCCTGAACGCTTTTTCGAAACGCTTCAGAAATGCTTTAGAAATGCTTTTTAATCATGTCGATAGTTTCCAATCCAAGGCTGCCTCAGAACCTCATAACAATAATAATAATAAGAATAATAAGAATAATAATAAGAAGAATAATAATAAGAATAATAATAAGAAGAATAATAATAATGAGAATAAGAATAATAATAATAATAATAATAATAATAATAATAATAACAATAATAATATAATACAATATAATATAATATAATATAAGGAAATATAATATAGTGTAATATATATAATACATATTATATATATGTATATATATATATATATGTATATATATATATATGGGTAGGTAGTCATTCCCCCACCCCTGCATTTCTGCAACTTTTCTTTTATATTCATGGATTCTGCTACCTGGCTTCGAAACTAGTGTCTGTTTCGAAACATATCCGTAGGAGGCCCCAACCCGACCCATTGACCCAGTAACCCAATCATTTGCCCAACCCATTAACCCATTAACCCAATCATTTGCCCAACCCATTAACCCATTAACCCAATCATTCTGGCCAAATGAAATTGCCTTAACCCATTAACCCATTAACCCAATCAGTCGCCCAACCCATTAACCCATTAACCCAATCATTTGCCCAACCCATTAACCCATTAACCCAATCATTCTGGCCAAATGAAATTTCCTTAACTCATTAACCCATTAACCCAATCATTTGCCCAACCCATTAACCCATTAACCCAATCATTCTGGCCAAATGGATTTGCCTTAACCCATTAACCCATTAACCCATTGACCCAATCATTTGCCCAACCCATTAACCCATCAACCCAATGATTTGCCCAAGTGGGACTGGACTCTACTCCCAAGTTCAGTTGGCCAGATTGATTGGGTAAATGGGTAAATGGGTTAAGGCAATTTCATTTGGCCAGAATGATTGGGTTAATGGGTTAATGGGTTGGGCAAATGATTGGGTTAATGGGTTAATGGGTTGGGCGACTGATTGGGTTAATGGGTTAATGGGTTATGGCAATTTCATTTGGCCAGAATGATTGGGTTAATGGGTTAATGGGTTGGGCGACTGATTGGGTTAATGGGTTAATGGGTTAAGGAAATTTCATTTGGCCAGAATGATTGGGTTAATGGGTTAATGGGTTAAGGAAATTTCATTTGGCCAGAATGATTGGGTCAATGGGTTAATGGATTGGGCAACTGATTGGGTTAATGGGTTAAGGCAATTTCATTTGGCCAGAATGATCGGGTTAATGGGTTAATGGGTTAACGGGTTAACGGGTTAATGGGTTAACGGGTTAAGGCAAGTTCATTTGGCCAGAATGATTGGGTTAATGGGTTAATGGGTCAATGAGTCAACGGGTCAATGTGTTAATGGGCTACATACTGGGTTGGGGCCGTGGCAGGCGCGTGTTTCGAAACATACGCTGTGTTTCGAAACTCACGCCTAGCTATAGCCCGCTACAGGTTAAATGTTACGTAAACTGACAGTTGTTCCAAGCAGAGCGAGCTATGTATATATATATAAGAGTATGATCAGGCCTCTGGCATTACGAGTGTGAGAACTGACAGCACAACAAACTGATGCCCAGTTCGCTTCACCAAGTTGTCAAGAGTCAAAGCACCGAAAGCCTTAAGGATCAGTAATTCATGACCTATTCCATTAGATCATATTGAACTATGTTGTCTTGTTTTGCATATGGTTCAAAATATACTTTTCTCTCCCTATCCCACAGTGGCTGAAGATTTTGCAAATGCATACGACTGTGTGGTACTATGTAGCATCTATATGCTGTCAACTATATACGAAACCGAACTGGTATCTACTGTAGCCCATGCTGTCGGCTCTAGGCTATACTACAGACCGATATTGCAGATTATACTATACACCATAATACTATATTACCGACTATATTGCAGACTAGACTATAAACCATAGGCGTTAGTGTACAATGTACTTGTTCTGCACGAAAGACTATTCCATGAGCTCGAGGAGACACATAATACATACCATGTCATGTACTATGCTCTCTAGTATACGCTATTTTCTAGGCAGTATACTACATTGTGATCTACACTAAACTTTTACAGTTCACTATACTCTTCTTTCCTACACTATGCTTTACTATACAGATATCTTATGCGTAATTTTGTTACAAGTTGCATTCTACATAGTTGTTATCATACATAAGCCCAAGAAATGATATCCTATCATGCTGTGCGGCATATGATAGTCTGCTACTGATACTATATTCTTCCAAACATTGTGTTGTACCATCTTTTGATGCATGGGTTATTTTGAGTTAGACACAGATCATAATGGGCTATACAACATGAGAGTATATTACATGTGGTACCAAAGGCTTGGTTATATTAGGTCATCTCACCCTATACCGCGTCGTATCTATGTTAAACATCTGGGTATGATTCAGTATTTCACATTATTTTTCATTTGCAAAATACTTGATGTAACGGCTGATGCTATACACTGGAATAGAATCGTATAGTACAATATAACGTAGTCCATGATAGAACATGTTATGCTCCAATACAGCACGACTTAAGTTGGCATGGTACAGTAAACATTTTGATGTGATGTAACCTGAAAAGAAAAAGTATCTGACAACCAGATGCATGCTCTATGTGACACAATACAGTCTACGACCATCAGATATAGCGTGGCGAATGCCATACGGAAAAAAGCAGTATTCTATCATGCTAGAGTACATTCTGTCTTATATCATTGTGTCGCACGAAATACTGCACACCTCCTAGATATTGTATGTTATATACTCTGAACCGTGTATGTGCCATAGTTTCTGCTATGTGATTTGAAATATATCGGTTTATAATTATACCATACTTCGTGGTATGGGGCATCTTATGCGTAATTTTGTTAGAACCGTGTATGTGCCATATTTTCTTTCATGTGTTTTGAAATATATGGGCTTATAATTATACCGTACTTCGCGGTATGGGGCATGACTGCGCACCCTTCGCACTGTATTGTATTGGGCGCAATACCGAAGATGCTGAAGTGTAGGGGTGGGGGAATGACCACGCGCCCATATATATATATATATATATATATATATATATATATACAGCTCCACAAGGCACCTCAAATGAAAAGATCCGGGAAGAACATTTCGATGCCAGAAGGCACGATACCAGTGGTTCCCACGAAGGAGCATGCGGGAATGTCGAACATCAAACTGTACGACATTGGTATTGACGGATTCCCACGAGTAAGCAAGCCCGGCAGCTGCATGGATACTGATGTATCTAGAACTCTAGAAGTTGAAAGGCACCTGCCGGCATTTTTCGCGACGACCCGCCGACTCCGATCCTTTGCGATCCCCTGCGATGCGAAGGACTCTCTGCCAACCAGTGCCGACGCGACCGAGGTGCCCCATCTCCAGAATCTGGCTCACGGACGACATGCGTTTGAAATACGTCTTGCAGAGCTCGATGTTCTCGGCATCCGGCTCCTGTCGATAGGTTTCATGTGTCGCTCCTCGCATCTCCAGCAATTGCAGGGGCCTCGGAGAAGTCGAGCGTGTGCATAGAAAAGAGCGTCTCTCCATACTGCCTTGCCGACTCGCGCACCGTGACCGAACTCAAACACTACAGAATGTGCTGAGGCTGGCTATGCCAGTGCTAAACGCGCACGTGCTTCCACGTTCCCAGCATCGGGTAGATGGGGACTGGCGTCTGCGCATGACGCAATGCTGGCTCCACACGCTGCTTGCACATTCGTTGGGCGACTATTGGCGATGGTGGGCGTGGTGCCATGGTGCTTCTGCCTATCGCGTGAGGTGCCCTCGACGGGAGACGGGGTTTGCAACGGCTTCTCAAAATGCCGCCGAATGGCTTGAAGTATGCCTCGTCAGATTCGAGCATGCCGTCAAACCAAGGGAGCCTGACAGCATCTGACCAAATGAAACTCTCTCAGCATGGGAAATCGACACAACTAAGCACGGCGACAAGACGAGAGGCTACCACAAGAGTGCTTCACAAACAGCCGAGTTGGTCTGATCCTGTATCTTGACATGAAGTAGCCTACCTGTCGACACTCCAAAACTTGCCCGAGACACAGCTGCTTTCCGCAATATCCAGTGCTTATCAGCACGGGAATACCTTGCAAAGCGGAGGTTTCGCTGCATCGACATGTGCCAGCTGTGCCAACAAGCCGCACTACACGTCCAAGCGTGCAAACCCTGACACATCCGTCTCATGACTGAACGTCACGACTCTGACCATAACAGGCAACTCCCTCAAAGCAGGACGGCTGACACACGCACACACACACACACAAGAACTGAAAAAAAGGCGAAACCCCGGGGCATGTTCAGTCAGCTCCGGCCCAGCGGCCATATGCCGGCGCCACAGCACGGACAAAATGTGCGCCAGCCACAGCACCAAGAATAGAGGCCTTCAGATGCATGGAGGTGCATGATACCGTCAGGCGAAGAGCGACTGAGCGATTTGAAGCTTTACGTCTGACGATTGAAATACCTACTTAAGTCTACACTTCAAAGCTGATGCTGCGATGCAGGCGATCTCACAAGACACAATATCCGATAGGCCACCTGTTTCACGCCCTGTTCGTTGGGCAGCGACTTTCCAGCCTGGGTCGGCAGAGCGCGGAATGCTGCGACGTCTTGTCCTGTCTTCACGAACAACTGTCGTCCTGTGGACTTCGTCTGGCCAGTCGGATGCAGCTATAGTAACCGTTCGAAGCTCCGTCTGGATTCTCTCTCTTGATCCGGGGAGCTATGAAGGCAGAACCGCCCTCGGAGAACTGAATAACGGCAGGCCGGTTGAGCTCCTGCATGAGAGTTGAACGGCCCTCCCTGCTATCGGTCGCTTCAATCTGCGGAGCTGCAAGCCTCCCAGCATGCTAGGGCTCAGGAAGAACAACCTAGAGCAACTTACCTGAAAGTAGAATACAACAGCAGTCAAGTCAGTATAGGTGTTAGGCTTGAGGCTCCCTCGCGGCTGCAAGGACGGAGTCAATCGCGCTCGTACTTGTGCAGGTGACGGCTGCGAGGGCATACCCGTACTTCTTCGCCTGGTCTAGACATGCATGCATGAGCACGCGTATACAGAGAAAGGTGCAGAGATGTATGCCTGCTGGCAAAACAAGTGAACAACTGAATATCCGCGAGTGCGAAACAGTGCAGGTGTTGCAGAGACAGGACCAACATATACCAGACACCTACAAGATGTCCACTCAGGCATTTCAGTCAACTCTTTACTCAAACTGCAAGATAAACATGAAACGCAGCCGAGTATCATGCTCCACCAGCGACCAGGCCAAATCACCGGTAAGTACGCCAGCCTTGCAGCCGGGAGCTAGTGCACAGTTTGGATACCCAGCCGACGGCATGTCATCAAAAGCAACAGCATCCGTAGTTGCAAGGGTGAAAGAAGGCGGGAGAATCCCAAATAGCAGTGCTTGTATAACAGAGCCATTTTCCTGCCTGCCTACCTTCGTCCCACGTTCTGAGCCCCCCGGAAAACATGACAGATCGTATCGTGAGGCTCTCTCGGAATCTGCACCTTCATGCCCGGAATCTCCCAGAAAGACATGGCTTGCAAAGGAAGCTTGGCTGACGGAGACGATATGGCAACCTGTCCTTTCTTGAGCAACAGCTGCGGGTGCCATGCGATCTGCAAAAACCCGAGGCAACTGGCAGCACCAAATTAAGTGCACAACACCGAGCAATCATGATTGAATGTAGTGGTCAAGCATGTGCTGGCAAGTGGCGCGACATTAGCACAGTCACTGATTGCAACGGTGCGCATGTTGGCGGCATTTTCAGCAGGCCCCGTCGCAAATGCTTCTATTTCATGCTGTTTAGGCCAGCTTTCATAAGCTTTGTGGTTAAGCAATTCTACTGACAGTCAACTAAAACATCCACAACGAGATGCATGAACTATGCTGAAACCAAAGCCTGTCATCTTTAGCTCCACAACTGTGGGAATCAGAAAGCCGCCTCAACCAGTACATGTGCAAAAGTCCATGCGCGCTACGTAAGCTGAAAAGGCCTAGACAACGTACTTCCGATGTGCTCCGAGTGCAGCATCTACAACTGCACGAGGTTTTTATACTCATGTTGAGCCATATCCCTGAGAAGGAACGTAAACGTGTCCAAGCCTTTGCATGACGATGGCCTTTTCTTGGCGATCGCTCTCGACAGAGTCAGGCGAGGTTTAAGGAACACTGGTATTTGCAGTTATTTGCAACCCAAGAAACGAACCAAACTGCACCCTTTGGCATGGATCCAGCCTTCTACGGCACCCAGTGGGGACCCAGTGGAGGCCCTGCAGGCTGCTGACTTCCCGCCTGAAGGGCGGGAATCTCAAGCACTTGGGATCATCACCACTGCCCTCACCCGACTCCTCGCGTCTGTGGCCCCACTGTTTTGCGAAGGCAACTCGAAGGCACATGCTGTGCTTCTTTAGGAGACCTGATGCTCTAGCATGTGCGGGCCTGCACGGCGGGCGGACGAGCCAAGCTCACAACAGTGCCCTGTCAAGCGTCGGTTTTCGAGGAATGATGGCATACGTTGGGGTGAGTTGCGCAAAGTCACTAGCGATTCCGAAAGCCTGTCATGTATGTACCGTCATGGGAAGAGAAGCCAAGCCAGTTTACTTCGTATGATGTCCGTGCAGCTCCATGACTAGCTCCATCTAGCATCTCTGGGGTTCCACGCAGCAGCAACACCGTTGTACTTTACTCAGGGAATGTCAGAGGCCAGCGGCCCTTCAGAGACCCTGAACTCTAAACTCTAAGCCACTAAGAGTCCTTTCAGCAATAAATGCCCCTCCGGATGGTGATCAAGTTGGGTTGAACATACATGGGTCATCATGGGTCCCTGAGGCTTCAGCCCTAGCCCTGCAAATCCTGAAAGCGGCGAACAGCCCGAAACCACAACCTTGGAAGGGTCCGCTAAGCATACCTACAATGCACTATTTGTGGCCTTCTTCCTCCAAGGTGGCAAAGAGTTGCCATTAGGTGCTGGGACGAGGGCTCATGGAGTTTATGCACACATGCATCGTTAGAGGGATCTACAGGGCGCAGCTCCGGATTGCAAAGGGCAAGCCAATGCTTTCGACTCGACTTTGCTGGTCACTTGTCAAGACAGCAGCGAACGCACCCCTCGAGTCTTCGTTCAAGCACTTCGGGCTGAACTGAAGACGACAAACGATTTGCTATACAAAGTCCGTGAATACACTTTTGAACGGACGCTTGTGTTGGTTACGCGAAGAAAAATCTAGGACACAGGAAAGCGGCTCTAGCGACGAACCAGTAACTAGTACGGGCCGGCTGCCTGCAGAACATTGCCGTCCGTGCCCACGCTCGCACAACTTCCTTTCACATACTTCCCGAACACGGCATCCATGTTCGCATTCGAACGGGCCTTGAGTGCTTTCTGTGCCGCCGCCTTGTTCTCCGGCTTGCCCAACCACGTGACGATGCATGTCTTCTGCAATGCCTTGCCGTAAGAGAAGGAGAGATGCCAGGGAAGGTTCGGGTAGAGCTTGTGCATAGTGCTGAGATTGATGGTGGCCTCCTCCTCATTGTCCTCGTTCAGCGCTGTCTCTCCGGAAAGGAAGAAGATGCCCGGCATGGCCACCGGCACCGTACGCAAGAGCGTCTGCACTGTGAGCTTTGCAATGGTCTCAGCATCTGCCTTCGGCCCTTTGAGACCGTTCTTGACCATGTTCGGCTTCAACACGGCACCCTCCAAGTAGATGTGATGGTCGGCCAAAGCTTTGAACTGGGCCGCCAAGACGATCTCCGTCATCTTGCAGCAATAGTCGATGTCGTGGTCTCCGTTGGGCACGATCTCGGGCTCCACAATGGGCACCAAGCGTTCGCTCTGGCAAATGGACGCATAGCGGGCCAATGTGTGAACGGTGTCCATGATCGCCAAGTTGCTCGGCAGGCCTTTCTTGGGGTCGAGCTGGAGCACATTGCGCCATTTGGCGAAGCGCGCCCCCTTCTTGTAGGCCTGGGCACACCGTTCTTGAAGGTCATCCAAACCTTTGGTCGACACTTCTGGGTGTCCCAAAGGTCCAACCTCCGTGCCCCACATGCCCTTCTTGTCGTAAGCCTTGTCCACCTTGATGCCGGGGATCATGCCGTTGCCGGTGATGATGTCCACCATCGACTTGCCGTCGGCATCGTCCTGGAAGAGGGTCTCCCAGTGGAGGATGACGCCACTGATGTGCTCGCTGAGCCCTGGTGTGGAGAAGCACATGGATCGGTAGGCGGCCCTGTTCTCAATCACATCCGGGATCTTTGCCGCCTCTGCATGACCAGCACGGAGCCATGGTCCGGCTGACTCGTCGGCGGCCAAGAAGCCCTTGCCTGGCGCGCACAGCTTCGTGGCAGTCTCCTTGAGCTCAGCCAAGACATCCGCGGGCAAGTTGGCCATGGCTGCTAAATCGAGGTCAGGAAGCTACACAGGTAGGCAGATTGGAAAACACCTGAGCCGAGCCACACCGACGGTGTCGTGATGCGGGCGTGCTGCTGGGCAAGCAAGCTGTCACCATTGGGAGGTTGACGTCCACTAAGCCACGAAAGGTCAACCTCCCTGAGTCGAACTCCGATGCCGCCTTGCTGTCAGACGCACAAGCACCTCGGTCCGAGACGCTTACGTTCGAATCAAAACAACGCCACAGAAACGACTGCCACAGCAACGACTACTGGACTGTTGCACAAGTACCGAAAGCAAACGATTGCGATGACGGCAACTACCGTCCCCATCTCTATATGGACTGTGGCCACTGACATTACCATCCGCAGTCCCACGCGTAACTTCGCAGAAATGGATTCAGGATTCAGGCTTCCATTTGCCACAAGCTAAACACAAGTTAATTTCAGGGAATTAAATAGTAAGTTGAGAACAGGGTCCCAACAGTCAACCATAGTCAACTGCTGCACATTGCTGATTGCTGTTGTTTGTGGCTGTGGGCTTCGGCAGTTTCGTGTTCCCTTCTTCGCATCCTTTTGGATTACCAGGGCCTGGTCTAAATCAACCCCAACTGCGGGACTTCTCGAAGGGCCCGGCCGCACAACTTACAACTAAGCCAGAAGGTCATAGGGGGTGCAAGGGTTCTGCTGGGTTCCGAGACCGGGAACGTGAAGGGACGCCCTGCTCCTCCTTTTCTTGAGCTATTTTACCAAGGCCGGAAATGAAGAAAATCCTAAGAGATGGTTCTTTGGGATCTTGTAAGCCTTGGGCTCTCGGAGGGTGGAGACCCAACCCCCCAAACTCCGAAACCTTCCTTTGCAGACTCTCCGACTCCTTGGGCACGTACTCATCTGAAGACGCTGGCATCCGTTTTGCTCCATTGCCCCGCTTGCCTCCGGCTTTTCGACTGTTAGCTTCGGAGTTTTGGGATTTGGACTTCGGGCTCTCGAGTAAGACGGAAACCTGAAAAATTGCGAAGAAACAAGCTCCAAGTTTGTATACCCAAACTTAAACCTTCGATCCTAAACCGCAAACACAAGCAGATAACAAACCACAATATGAGAAAATAGAAGGTGGGTAAGCCCAAACAGCTCTGCGGGCGGGATCTCTCCTCTGTCGGTCTCCCTATAAGGGAACGTTTGGGGGAAGAGAGGAGCCCTCTGCGAAAGGCTGGTGAATCTTCGAGGTTTTCCAAACGAGAAGCATCAAGCATCTTCACTTGCATTCGTCTGTGTCTCTCGGGCACATTTTCAAAAACACGACGTTAATTGGATTTCCTAAAATGTGATCATTTTTTGGGTGTGTGGTTGGTGCTCAGTCTTGTTTGTGTCACAGTCTTATCAGAGATTCTAAAACTTAATGTAAAGATCTCGGGGCGGTGTCCATGCTTTCACTCACCCCTGGGCGGAAAACACTGACCATCTCCTTCCAGTCATAGCAAAGGTCGAGCAACAGAGCTTCGTGATCGGTCAGCTTGCCGGGGAGGACTCGGATTCTGTCTGCAAAGGAGAAGGCATTGACGTAGATGTGGCAACGGTTCTATCTCCATCCCAGCGAAAGGCAAAACCAGCTAGGCCCTTGAAGATGCCACGATGGCTCATGGAGGGAGCCGGAGAGTGTCCTCGTTTGGTGCCAGATTTGCCACTAATCTGCTCCGCTGGCAGCGGCATGGAGGTTGAGGATCGCCGGCGAGATTTATAGTAAGAGCTAAACTGGCCGAGTTTGACAACTTGTGCGTGCGAAGAAGTATTCGTCCCTAGAAGACTCTGAGGGAGGGCATTGTCAGCTTCTGAAGTTTCGGGTTTGGGCAGGGCTAGGGGCGAGTGGGGGCTTTGGCTGTGGCTCGTTTGTAGAGTAGGGTCTGTGGGCCGTGCAGGAAGGACACTCACAAAAAACGAATCAACATGAAGAAGACATGTAGCATGCATTCAGGACAGCGCCATCAACCCGAACAACAGCACATAAAGATAAGAGTAAATAGAAATACATTGACATGTTCATCGGGCGAGCTGGTGTCACGGGCTCCGTTGTGTCAGGGATCTAACCCCCGAGGATATGGAGCTCCAAAAAAAGATAAGGAGGGCTGCAGGGATCTGCAGGGTAAAGATCTTAGGCAATTTGCAAAGAACGGGAATCAGAGGGACTCTGTGGTTTGTCGTAATCTGCACACTTTATTGCAAAGCTTTGCTACTGCACTGGTATAACCGTAGCCGAATCACACTAGGTTGGAAAGTTAAAGTGCTCGAGATGCTTTCTGCCATTGGCCACCGGATGCGGGTTTGTAGGCTTTGGACTCCTAGCAGCCAGCCCCCCTCAATGGCCCTCAAAGGGAGATTACCTGCTGTTGAGCCGCTCCGGCTCCGGAATCTCGCGAGCAAGGACAAATTTTGACTCGCACAGCGCTGGTCTCTGCTTCCAGCAGCAAGCACACCCCTCGAGTCTTCGTTCAAGCACCCAGGGCTGAAAACGAAGACGACAAACAATATGCTGCACAGTGTTTGTCAACATGCATTAAAACGATGCTTCGTGATTGTTACGCGAAGAAAAATCTTGGACACAGGAAAGCGGCTCTAGCGACGAACCCGAACCAGTAACTAGTACGGGCCGGCTGCCTGCAGAACATTGCCGTCCGTGCCCACGCTTGCGCAACTTCCTTTCACGTACTTCCCGAACACGGCATCCATGTTCGCATTCGAACGGGCCTTGAGTGCTTTCTGTGCCGCCGCCTTGTTCTCCGGCTTGCCCAACCACGTGACGATGCATGTCTTCTGCAATGCCTTGCCGTAAGAGAAGGAGAGATGCCAGGGAAGGTTTGGGTAGAGCTTGTGCATAGTGCTGAGATTGATGGTGGCCTCCTCCTCATTGTCCTCGTTCAGCGCTGTCTCTCCGGAAAGGAAGAAGATGCCCGGCATGGCCACCGGCACCGTACGCAAGAGCGTCTGCACTGTGAGCTTTGCAATGGTCTCAGCATCTGCCTTCGGCCCTTTGAGACCGTTCTTGACCATGTTCGGCTTCAACACGGCACCCTCCAAGTAGATGTGATGGTCGGCCAAAGCCTTGAACTGGGCCGCCAAGACGATCTCCGTCATCTTGCAGCAATAGTCGATGTCGTGGTCTCCGTTGGGCACGATCTCGGGCTCCACAATGGGCACCAAGCGTTCGCTCTGGCAAATGGACGCATAGCGAGCCAATGTGTGAACGGTGTCCATGATCGCCAAGTTGCTCGGCAGGCCTTTCTTGGGGTCGAGCTGGAGCACATTGCGCCATTTGGCGAAGCGCGCCCCCTTCTTGTAGGCCTGCGCACACCTTTCTTGAAGGTCATCCAAACCTTTGGTCGACACTTCTGGGTGTCCCAAGGGTCCAACCTCCGTGCCCCACATGCCCTTCTTGTCGTAAGCCTTGTCCACCTTGATGCCGGGGATCATGCCGTTGCCGGTGATGATGTCCACCATCGACTTGCCGTCGGCATCGTCCTGGAAGAGGGTCTCCCAGTGGAGGATGACGCCACTGATGTGCTCGCTGAGCCCCGGCGTGGAGAAGCACATGGATCGGTAGGCGGCCCTGTTCTCAATCACATCTGGGATCTTCGCTGCCTCTGCATGACCTGCACGGAGCCATGGTCCGGCTGACTCGTCGGCGGCCAAGAAGCCCTTGCCTGGCGCGCACAGCTTCGTGGCAGTCTCCTTGAGCTCAGCCAAGACATCCGCGGGCAAATTGGCCATGGCTGCAAAATCGAGGTCAGGAAACTACACAGGCAGGCAGATTGGAAAACACCTGGGCCGAGCCACCACGACGACTTCGTGATGCGGGTGGGCTGCTGGGCAGGCAAGCAGGCACGCTTGCTTCGTACATGCTGCCATGTGCACCACCGAACCCCGAATCCTCAAAGCGGAACTTGATCATACTACTAGTACGGCACCCACGGCTTCAACATCGTCTTTGCTTTTGATATGTCATGGCCAGTATCGCAGAAGTGTTTAGCTTCTTTTAAAAACAAGATCACTGCAACTCCTGCTTTTGAACATATTCATCCACAGCCGCCTGTGCATCAAGTTAGGCAGCTGAAATGCGTGTGAACCATGAGAGCCCTCCATGCCTCTGGACGACAGGCTGCCGCACCAAATCCCAAACCCTGAAGGCTGTGGCTTCCGGCCTCAAGGGACCCCGGAAGCTCTGGCGCTCGAGTCGGAAGGTCCACAGAGGACCTGAGTGCAGGGGTTGTCAAAACGGCAAGGCTACAGAGATAACATGGCATCACATAGCATCATCACATATGATGAGAGGGGCCATCATGTATGTAAAGCAGAACTGCATGTCCCTCATGTCTTTATTAACAACTCAACACTTGCTGAACCCGCGACTCTCTCGCTCATGCCGTGCATATCTGACACGACGCCGACGCACCCCACCCGCGCCCAACGCAAGAAGATAGTGGGGGTTTCTTCAACTTGCCGCACTGAGCGGACAATCAGCCTACATGACAGAGTTGTGAAGTTTGTGGAAGACATGGGCGCCTGCCAGCAACATCCGAGGCAGCAGAGTATCAAGGAAGAACAACTTGTACTAGCACAATAAACCGCCAGCCGGAGTGAAGAAGGCGTCACTCTCCCTGTGTTAAAGTACTGCCAGCGCATGCTTCTCTGCGGGTGGCGCTTGTCACGGTCGGACCAGCCAATGATCAAGTCAAGGCTTAGTGGTACAAGAGACCCTCCGTTGACTACAACCAGGAAATTACAGGAAGCGGCGATTTAAAGTAAATGAAAACCGTACCGCCAGGGGCCCACGCCGACAGTAGCAAGTGCGTCAAGCAGCGCCGCATAACTGTTTCTCAGCACATCGGGCATCTTGCGAGACGACCGTCTATAGGATGTCTATAGGGCTTGAAAATTTCGTTTCGAGACGGAGACGAAGCGTGAAAAGAACCTCAAACCTCGGATCGACACAGGAAGTCGGCTCTGGCGACGAACCAGCAACTAGTACGGGCCGGCTGCCTGCAGAACATTGCCGTCCGTGCCCACGCTTGCGCAACTTCCTTTCACGTACTTCCCGAACACGGCATCCATGTTCGCATTCGAACGGGCCTTGAGTGCTTTCTGTGCCGCCGCCTTGTTCTCCGGCTTGCCCAACCACGTGACGATGCATGTCTTCTGCAATGCCTTGCCGTAAGAGAAGGAGAGATGCCAGGGAAGGTTCGGGTAGAGCTTGTGCATAGTGCTGAGATTGATGGTGGCCTCCTCCTCATTGTCCTCGTTCAGCGCTGTCTCTCCGGAAAGGAAGAAGATGCCCGGCATGGCCACCGGCACCGTACGCAAGAGCGTCTGCACTGTGAGCTTTGCAATGGTCTCAGCATCTGCCTTCGGCCCTTTGAGACCGTTCTTGACCATGTTCGGCTTCAACACGGCACCCTCCAAGTAGATGTGATGGTCGGCCAAAGCTTTGAACTGGGCCGCCAAGACGATCTCCGTCATCTTGCAGCAATAGTCGATGTCGTGGTCTCCGTTGGGCACGATCTCGGGCTCCACAATGGGCACCAAGCGTTCGCTCTGGCAAATGGACGCATAGCGGGCCAATGTGTGAACGGTGTCCATGATCGCCAAGTTGCTCGGCAGGCCTTTCTTGGGGTCGAGCTGAAGCACATTGCGCCATTTGGCGAAGCGCGCCCCCTTCTTGTAGGCCTGGGCACACCGTTCTTGAAGGTCATCCAAACCTTTGGTCGACACTTCTGGGTGTCCCAAAGGTCCAACCTCCGTGCCCCACATGCCCTTCTTGTCGTAAGCCTTGTCCACCTTGATGCCGGGGATCATGCCGTTGCCGGTGATGATGTCCACCATCGACTTGCCGTCGGCATCGTCCTGGAAGAGGGTCTCCCAGTGGAGGATGACGCCACTGATGTGCTCGCTGAGCCCTGGTGTGGAGAAGCACATGGATCGGTAGGCGGCCCTGTTCTCAATCACATCCGGGATCTTCGCCGCCTCTGCATGACCTGCACGGAGCCATGGTCCGGCTGACTCGTCGGCGGCCAAGAAGCCCTTGCCTGGCGCGCACAGCTTCGTGGCAGTCTCCTTGAGCTCAGCCAAGACATCCGCGGGCAAGTTGGCCATGGCTGCAATGCAGGATGCTCCACAGCCAAATTTAAACAATTGTGGAACTGTTTTGAGTCGCAGCGACGATTTTCGGATGACGGTGAAGGCTGCCAGAAAAGCTTTCACCCTGGCCCTGGCGAGTGTCGATCAACCATCTGACATCTGTCCATTCAGTGAGCCCGGCATTAAGACCCGGATCCGAAAGACCAACCCCAAGACGAACTCTGAAGCCATGAACAATCTGCGATGCGATCCTAGGTAAGCACTCAGGCGGCCTGGCTTTCAACGACTTCGTGAAGCCTGGAAACTGGACCCAACCGAATGCTGCCTGACCAGCACCGTATCAGATCCTTACAGTGCTTGCGTCTGGCAGCTTTCCTTCAGTATGAACTATGACGGAAATAAACTGCACCGAAGTGGCGTCCATCGGCGAGCCAACGACCGTGGGGAGACATGCCTCTTGCAGCCTGCTGCGGGCTCTACCGTACAAAAGAAACGGCTTTGGGAGTTCTCGACAGTTAGGCTGTCGAGGTTCGGACGTAGAGTCTTGATTGCAAGGGTCGTTAGGATGCTGGTCTGCATCCCGCCCTTCGGCACGAAATGCAAACTAATCCCACCTCTGGACATGTCTGGACACATGCAAGAGCAGCCATGTTGACCACTCACTCAAGACGGTGCTCGAGGCGGTACAGAACAGGGCCAGGGGCACTCGAGTCAACGGGGCAAAGTGTACTGGTAACAACAAGAAACTGCTGCACGAAAACCACAGAGGTTTCTAGTGAGTGGCTGCAGAGATATACATGCGTGTATAGGCGCGTAGCAGGTACTGCATGTAAGCATGCACATATCCACCTGTGTATGCCTGCATGCATGTATGCAGAACCGAATGTATACGTGTGTGCATGTATGCGTGCTGCATGGGTAAGCATGCATAAGTCTGTGTCTTGTCATGTCAGGATCATGTCATTTATTGACGATTGCTACTGCTACTGCTGCGACGACGACGACTACTACGACGACGACAACGACGAAGTCTATTACTAGTCTATTACTACACTACTGCTACCGTTTCTCTCCTCCCACTCCTACCCCTGCTCCTGCTTCTACTCCCAGAAGCACTCGATTTATGCTAATCAAGTGCGAAAACATCCTTCCGAAATGGTAGTCCCAACTCCTAAACCATAGCTCCAGTATTATCCGAAGTCGCCCGTGTTTGTGTGATATACTCAACAACTCGTCGCCCAATTGCACTTACGCTGAGGTTCTGCTCCTCTAATGTCCATCCATGGCCATGCACGGCGAGATCGCGAAGTCGGGATGCGTGCGGGTCTACCGTCCTGATGAGGAATCAGCTTCTTGCATCTTCTGAAGGATCAAGTGGCATCTCCTGCCAGCATTCAAGCATGCAGCGAAGTCGACAACTCGAGCCGAGAGACTTTGACATGGGAAGGATCGGTCGGTTCCCACAGCACTCCACACCGGTCAGTGGGGTGCATGAGTGAACTCAGGTGCAGTAGAATTGATGTGGACAGTGCTCTTGTTTCAAACTCGAGGGCAGGGCAGTTGAAGTCAACCTGCCTCCCCTGACGAGAACTACAAAGCATCAACTTCGGCTCAGGCTATATACTATAGGGGCTAGGAGAACTAGGGAGCCGATTCAAGAGTTGAGGTGGGAGCGTGGGACCTGGGAGCTCCCGACGCACCCTTGATTATTATTATTATTATTATTGTTATTATTATTATGATTATTATTATTATTATGATTATTATTATTATGATTATTATGATTATTATTAATATTGCTATTATTATTATTATACTATCCTCCCAAAGCTTTGATGCTCTGCAGTTTGGCCAGAGGTGTTCCACGTGAAGCAGAAGCCACGACGTGCTTCTGAGCCTAGCTACGCGATTTCTGGGGGATCCTGCTACAAAGTGCAGGTCAGTGAGTGAGTGCCGAGTCATTACCAGCAACCCTGCTTAAGCCGCATGCCCTCGAGACCAAGCTTTACAGACTGCGTTTCAGAATCTTGGGACAGAAAACAAAACATCATGCTTGTGGTCGAGGCAGGCAGGGGGGCCTCTACCCTCACGAGGAGTATGAATGAACTAGGACATGCTGCCGCTCCCCCCACAGCTATCTGACTGATCTTCGGCACGAGCATGCTCCCCCACATCACTCGCCCAGCATTCACACTATCATGGCCAGCCGGCGGTCTCCATTGCAGTGCCCAGCGAACCGTATTTCCTGGAAAGAGTTACTGGAGATTACTTGAGGGTGTGGCCCAGGCTTGCGTTCTTCCGCAGTTCAAGCAAGCCTGGACATGTTGTAGCTCAGGCACATGGCTTTAGCTGTGTGCCAGGAACAAAGATCGCCAGCAAGCCGATCCCCCAAGTCGAAAGGAGTGACCGATGAGGCACTCGTGCCAAAAACTCGAAGCCCTGGGCCCTGGAAGAGAGAAGGTGTCTTCACCAGTGATGCATTGTCCGGCCATGCCGCACCTGCTTTTTCCACAAGTCCTAAACGGCATCTACCCGCGGCGTAATGAAACGTGCTAAACAGCTTCAGCAAGCCGCGAGCTCCAGCATCTTCCCCCTTCGACGCACCGTCCTCGCTCACTGCCACGTCATGTTGTTGTTGTTCACCTGCCGGGAGCATCGACAGGACAGGTTCGCATCAACACAGCCATGTTCGCATCGCCTCTTGCAAGGGGCCCCGCGAGTGCGCTGGTACGAAGCAAACAATGACGTAACACCCAACCTAAACAAACTCACGATGCCACACAACAGCGTTGCTCTGAGGAAGGTTGACCAGGTCATCTTGAGCTGCGGCTAGGCTAACTAGCAGATGCACCGCATTGCACCGCCACCAACTGAAGTCAGGGCTGAGGACTTCCGCATTTTGTCGGCGTGCCAGTGCGTGGTGGGGGGAGGGGCGGGTTGCAAGGCCAACGTTGAGCCTGCGCCTCGTACACCGTGTAAGTGCTTTCCTGCCAGGACAGCTCGCCGAGCACACAAACTCGGACTTGCCACACAGAAGTCACTTCAAGAGGAGAATGAACAGTCAGACCTGTGCCATCTACGGTTCATCTCTCTACCGCAAAGCGACACCAATTTCTGAGACGAAGCTACGAATGCAAATCCGCAGGTCCGACCTGACTCCACCAAACACACACAAACAGCGAGGCACCTGTTTCGCGGTGTTCACGCCGATCTCGTTACTCGGTATCAGCATCAGCTGGGAGGAGCCTGCATAGCCCTCATTCCTGCGCCGGAAGGCGGAAGCCACGACATGACGAGACAGCGACGCGGGTGGCAAGCATCTTTAGCTGACGGCACATGACAGCATCATAACACTCTACTCCTGTCGACTCTTTTACAAGGTCACTGTCCAGGAGCCAAATCAGTCGAATCTAGTCTAGGCAATTCAGGTTTCGCCCGTGCTAGAGATAAGAAGTCGACGTCAATTTGTCATGTCGAGGACACAACTTTCATAGAATGACTGCCGAAGACGGCGCAGGATGTGCTTCGGCGCTGTGACCGCATGTCGGCTTCCCACTATACATGCTGTAAATCTGAGACTTCATTACTGGTGCGGTCCGGAACATTGCGATGTTTCATGCTACAGTCGGGTAGCTGACATTCTTGCCAGCCGAAGCCAAACATCTCTTTTCGTTTGCATCCAGCTAGTTTAGAGGAGCAAAGGAGATTCTACAGTCTGGGACAACAGGTTCTGGCTGTTCGACTTTTGCCAGGCCCTCCCTCCCGGCTTTGCATGGGCACGTCGCCGCGCGGCAGCGGAAGCAAATTCCAGGAAGGCCTGCGAGTGCTGGAGCTGGCTTTCCCCGACGCGACGCTGATCGAAAGATCTGCTAAACATGGGTGCAAGAGGAAGAAGACCGATTATCGTCAACAGTGGATCTGTTTCTCATTCCGAACTCTGCATTGACAACACGGGCTCGAACGAGACAGCGCTCTGTGGATCTGGTACATTCTCCCATGTAGGCCTAGGCTCGAAGACATTCAGTATGCTCCTCGTTGGCAACAATATAACTACCACATCTCTGCGCACAAGAGCATCTGCATGCTTCGATAGAACGGTGTTTGTCTTCCTTGGCACAGACAGACACCGCCCTAGATTCCTAGATTGTTATGCAATAAGCGGCAATAACTTCATGAAACAGCAGTGCCGCGACTACGAAGGCGCAGCAAGGATTACACGCTGCACGACACTCGAACTAGCGAAGCAACTGCTGGCCACACCAGCACGGAGGAGTTTCGCGGGAGCTTTGCCACCACTTTCATGAGGTCTTGCAACAATTGTTGTTGCAAGTTGCTGCACCGATCTGTGTCTAGTTGTCCAGTGACTATATGACGAGCGAGATCATGTCTGCCTTGACGACGCAGAGTTGACATGTGCACGCCTTTTCTCTTCACAGGACCACTCTCGCAGCAGTTTGACTTGGTTCAAGCACTGCCGGAAGTCATCAGGCAGCGGAGCTTGGGCGTGTCCTGGATGAAGCAGCTGCTGTATCCAAGCTGGCTAAACAGCACTGCTTCACAGCAACTTGCAAAATGTCGCCTTGTTGTCTCGACGCAGACAGTGTGCTGTGTGGTGGCGACAGCTCTTCGCCCAAGAAACTGGCAGAAGCCACTACGATCGCTCACCCGATGGTGCATATCTTATCGTAGCCACGATGCGCCAGCTCATCAGCCGCAGACTGCATGCACTGCATAAGCTCGACTATCCCAAGCATAACCACATGCAACAAACATTGAAGTCACACAGGAACCATCAGGAACCCGAAGCTTACCTACTCGATGCTCGCCACCCTCTGCAACTGCTCGCCGACCAACGGCAAAACGCCCCCACTCTCAGTTATCTTGTTTGAGGGCATTTCAAGCCAAGTGGCGCGGCCGGCCTCTCATGTCGCGGAAGCCAAGACCTGTCGCTTCAAAGCACAAAGAACCCAAGACGCAAAAACACAAACAATCATAAGGCCCACTAGCCTGAGCGGTGCAAGCAGTTCCGCTGGCAGAAGTCGTCATCCGCCACGAACGTCCACTGGCTGGAATACAATGCGTCCTGAATTCGATGCAGTAGATCGGGTCTGGCTAGCTTGCTAGTCTGCGAGCTGCAGCACGTAGGCGACTTCGAGCAGCAGGCACTTAGTGCAGTGCACAAGTAAGGTGTACGACGTATGCCACATTACTGTCTTGCAGTTTCTCGAGTCACTGGGCACTACGGCATGAAAATTCTTTGCAAGCGTGCAATTCCCGAGAGACTTCGCAAACGTATTTGCTGCTTTTACATTTCATGTTCTTTGTTGGTGACGTTTGAGATTACAAGAGTGCTGGAGAGAAAGCAACTGGTGGGTCACAGCACAGACCGAGGGAGAGAAAGAGAGAGGGACCAAAGGAATGAATCAAGCACATGCAGCAAAGTTGCGCGGACGACAGGATGGCCAACATGCGCAAGCTGACCTCAGTTGTCGGGTTTCTTCGACGAAGCTGCCTCAAGCACGTGCTACTTGTAGCGAATTGGACAATTTGCAGTAGGCAAAGCATGCGGGTATATAGGAATGATAATACTGCAGCTTCCCAGTGCATCCCCGAATGACAGGGTTTGATTACCATGGTGAAACTTCGGTGTCACCTATTGCCGGTGGTATACAGTGCTGTCTTCCGCCCTGCTGCGAAGGCTGGGTGGGCTCCGAGTGAAAAAGCGCTAAAGTTTGGACGACCAGGAGTGTTTGAGCTGAAATTGTGCCACGCAGGAACTCTGACGGCCGGTTCCGTGCAGAACCGCTTTTCTAGCAAAGCAGGCTTTTCTTGCCATGCTCTGCAGTGATATCGTGCACTGCACCTGTCCAGACTAGATCTGCGATGATGGTGCCGATCCTACACCTGTACCTCATGCCTCTCTGGAGCCTTTCTCTCTCCCTCTTAGTTTTGGGTATACTTGCTTCCCTTCTCTCGGCAGCATTAGAGACGAACCATTTGCTGCACCTTGGCCCCTCGCGGGTGCCTCTGCGCCCCCCGATGCTAATGCGCCTTAGATTGGGTCCAAGCATCTTCTTAGTTGGTGGCGGCGGCCCGTCGATATGCGCAGGCTAAGGCGGCTGACGGCTTTGACCTCTTGTCCGCTATGGCTTCAAGTTGGCATGCTTCTCACTGCAACCAGTTTACGTGGTTTTCCTGCATTCCATCCCCTTCCAACTTGCAGAGCCGAGTCAGCCTTTCCGTTTGTCGCCCAAGGTTCTAACCGACTACGGTGTGCCACCATGCAACCAGCTACATACAGAGAAGTCCCCGAAGCTCGCGGAGCGGCGACCTTTGCAGTAGCTGTCACGTTAGCGCAACACCCGTTTTGAGGAAATAGTCCTCTGCCCAGCCGGAAGGCCTGCGCCACACCGTGTGCGCCGCCTTGAAGTGCCGCGAAGCTTGGCCGGCCTCGCCCGCCCGCAGCGGAGGGCCTCGCCTGCCATCGGAGGCTTGAAACCCATCTAAGCAATTACTTCGCGACTTTGCGATTTCGGACATGCACCGACTAACTACAGTAGCATATTCTTGACTTGAGGAGTAGGCAAAGTACTTCATCATCGTCCTATCACAACGTGGAGGCTTCGGAGCGGCCAAGCACTCCAACTTTTAGCCTAGAGAAACTTACTTGGAGCGGTCTAAGCTGTTGGGCATCGTGGAGAGCAGGGGAGCAGTTGGACAGCATTGAGCAAATCCTATAGCTTTTCAGATTTGCAGCTTGCAGCCCGCCCCTAATACTCTATGCTGCTATGCTCAAGGCCCAAAAAAGCTGTCGCCGCTCGATGCTCAACCGGTTCAACCCAAACCTTGCTGGAGCCTCACCCTGACGTCGCCAGGAGACAGAAGCAGTGAGGACACGGCGCCCTGCGGTCTCGCCAGACTAAACAAATCCTACAGGACAGGACTGGAAGTGGGCTTGACTCATATTAAACAGCTTTTACGGCAACATGAGGAGGCTCGACTTGGGCTGGTCGTCAGAACACGACGTCAGCAAGGTGCCCCACCGGCCCCACCTTTCGAGACGAAGCCGTGGCAAAGCCTCAGATCTGCGCAAGAAGCCTGGCGATGAAAGTTGCGCGCTGACGTCGACGTGAAGACAAAGCCAAGGTGCAATAAGTAACTTCGCAATATCTGCCCTGCTGCCAGCTGGAAGTGGAGATCGTAATAGGACTCATGCCTTGAGACCGAGCTACACAGACAAAGCTCGCGCGTGTCAGCGTGTGTCTTGACATGAGCAGTTGCTTATCCCGGAACAGCATCTCCAAACCCGAAACAAGCCAGACACGCCCAACATGGCTAACTTCATCCCTTCCATGCCTTGAGAATCTCAAGCTAGAACAAGATATAGAGGAATTGCAACTTATTTCAGCCTTGGTGCGTTTTTGCTGCCAGAATCCTTGCAGGCTCTAAGGCATGCTACTAGAGCTACTGTAGGAACATAGAGGAACAAACCGTTCGAAAGGAACTGGAGAGGTTGAGCGTCCAGGAGCAAACCGATCGAAATGGACTGGAGGAGGTGACAGCAACACGGGCTTGACCGAATAGACTTTGAGAAAAGCGCAACACGCGAAACTGATCGTGGAAAGCACAAGTGGTGAGGTTGCTCGAAAGAGTCTGGAGTCTAGAGGAAATCCAGAAAGAGGAGAAAGCAAAATGGGGGGCTATAGACAAGTTGGGAAAGAACATCTAATCGCTCGAGACCTTCCAAAGGGACTAGTTACTTGAGACAAACAGAAAAAGGAGCGAACTGTTTGAAAGGGACTAGAGAATCGGAGAAAGCGGAGCGAAACGCTCGAAACGGACTAGAGTCTCGAGGATCTGAGGTCAGCCAATCCTTCGAAAGAGATTACATACAGAGTTTGAAAAGGAGAGCTACAATGCTTCAAACAATGTAAACTGAAAACAAAAAAAGGAGCGAACCGTCCGAAAGGGACTACGGCATTGAGAAAGAATCTAAGTAAGAGGGAGCCGCTCGAAAGGAACTAGAGAATCCAAGAAAGGGGAGTGATCTCTTCGGCAGAGATTACCGAATATGAGAAAGAGAACGAAGCCTTGCAAAGAGACCAAAGACTTTGAGAGAAAGGAACCAAGCGTTCGAAAGGGACCAGAGGCTTTGAGAAAGAGGAGCGAACCGCTCGAAACGGACTAAAGAGTCTGAGAAGAAGAGCCAGGCCTCCAAAACAGATTCAAGAACCTGAGGAAGAAAACGAATCCTTCGACATGGACTAGACGCTTTGAGAAAAAGAACGAACCGTTCGAAAGGGGCTAGAGAATCTGAGAAAGGGGGGCGAACCCTTCGAACGAGATTCAAGAACCTGAGGAAGGGAACGAACACTTCGAAAGGGACTATCGACTAAAGACTTTGACAAAACGAGCAAACTGTTCCAAACGGACTAAGGAAATCTGAGAAAGAGGAGCGAGCCGCTCGAAAGCGACTAGAGAATCCGAGGCGAACCGTGCGAAAGGAACTAGAGCATCTGAGGAAGAAGAGCAAACCGCTCGAAACGGAGTAGGAAATCTGAGAGAGAGGTGCGAACCCTTCGAATCTGCGAAAGAGGGAGCGAACCGTTCTAAACAAACTGGGGAATCTGAGAAAGAAGAGCGAAACGTTCCGAATCTCAGAAGGAGCGAACCGTTCCAGAAGGACTGGGGAAATCTGGACAAGAGGAGTGGGCCGCTCGAGAAGGGCCTTTCGGAAGAGACTATGTAAAGAAAGTAAGCAAAAGAGGCGAACCGTTCGAAACTGACTAGAGCATCTGGGAAAGGAGAAACTAGGGA